GCAACTGTATATGTAAATACATTTAGGGTGTGCATATGATACTGTAAATTAAAGGTGTAATTTTAATGTTGCTAGTTATTTATGTCAAAACTATTGCCATTACATTCAGTGATATACAAGAATTACAATGTATAAGTAACATTTGTAGAAAAAAACATTACTAAGGATTCTGTATGGTGGTATGGGAAGAGTGCGGTGTGAGAGGAAATCAAGGGGGAATGACACCATGAGTTACTGCACCAAGTTATGCCAACCCTAGTGACACTGATGATGGTGGTGGTAATAATAATAATAATAATAATAATAATAATAATAATATGGTTGACTGGCACACTACACACATTATAGCACTAGCCTTGACTAGTTCATCACATATTCTTTTTGTGAACGTCCCACACTACATCCCAATACTCATTCATATGGTGATCTACTAACTATGGCTTTATACAACATCCGTGCCTTGTTAAAACTGAACTTGTCAACACATTTCCAAACCAACAAAGTTCTGCATTCCTATGAGCATTCTCACACACAGACTGCTATATAGGTCTGTTCCTGGGCTTTCCACTCCATCAAATGCATCTGAGGAAATAGGCTCAAGTCTTCACAAGCTTATGCTATATCGCCTTCTTTCAGTTAGTCTCAAAGGAGCTGCAGGATCCCTTTGCATAATAATAATTACTAATAATAATAAATTGTTATTGATGAGGATTTTTTAAAATCTCTGCAAAGACACATTACCAAAGCAACAACACCATGCCCTACAGAGGTAGCATTCTGATAGGTAAAGCAGGAGAAAAGGAATTCAGGTTACATTGGCTGCATCCGCACTGCAGTAATAATCCAGATTGACACCACTCTTAACTGCCATGGCTCAATGGTATGGAATTCTGGGACTTATAGTTTTGTGAGACATTTAGCCTTCCCTGTCAAAAAGCTCAAGTGCCACAACAAACTACAATTCCCAGGATTCCATAGCACCGAGCCATGGCAGTTAAGAGTGGTGTTTTAAGTGTGTTTTAAATTGTTCATTGTTTAATGGTATTTTTAGAGGTGGGTGGGATTGTGGGATATGTAGTGTATTTTTAATGTTGTAAGCCACCCCGATTCCATTACGCAGAGGGGTGGGATAAAAATAAATTTTATTATTATTTTTTATTATTATGGCAGTTAAAGTGGTGTCAAACTGGATTATTTCTGCAGTGCGGATGCAGCTATTGATTCAAGAGGCAGAGAGAGAAACAGTGGCTGCAATCCAATCTTAGGCTCACTTTTCTGAGAATTCGTGCCACTGAAGGGGTTTACTTCTGAGTAGGCATTGACGGAGAGTTGTGCTGTAAGAGACTTGTACCAGCTCTCGAAAAGATGTTCAGCTGGGAAATGTATATAGATCACAGTCCCATGTCTTAATCCTCAAGACTTGCCTCCTTCGTTTCTTACTCCAAAAAAGAAATAGAGGTGTTTCTCAGAGGAATTCTACAGTGTTCTAAAAATAGTCTGTCACTGCTCCAAGAAATGTCAGAGACAATAGAAAAGGGGGGGCTCTTCTTGTCACGCAATGTCAGTGGCGATACGTTTTTTGTTCCTGGCCTGCCTTTCACTGTAAAGACTATCACATGTACGCAGTCTACCATTCCCTTGCAGGGTGACCTTTCCACCAGACTAATCCTCTGCCTGAAACAATAGACTGGGAACAGATCACACACCTATAGAAGTTTGCCCAGAAACACCTGTGTATAAACCAACCATCTCTGTATCCATGTACAGAGGCTGTACCTGGGTTGCACGTAACACATGAACACCCCTGCAGCTACACTGACCACTGGCAGCATCTATCCAGTTGACCAGTGTGTGCAAAACAGATGCAAATGAGTCTTGCCATCCCAACAGTTTGGAGAGAGGACAACCCCTCACGAGAACTGGACAGAATAATATGTTCCACTAGAATCTGAGGTGTGCGCACCTATGTGTTTTTATTTTACAGAGACACTAGAGAAGAAAGCCACTTGTTTAGAGAATCGTGCAGGTGAACACCATCATTGGGTTGCATTGGGTTGGACTTGGATGGGGCATATCACAATATAATTGGGTTTGGGTTTTGCTGGTTGGTGTCACTTTTGTATTTACTACCCCTCCTTTTTGTGCTGTTTGTAGTGATTTCTTCAAGTGGCACTAGGGTTCTTCCCAAGATTCCTGTGGTTTGAAGAACAAATTTTCCCTTCTCTGATTATTTTTTTAAAAATTAACATTATACAGTCGCTCCTCCCTTTTCACAGGGGATCCATTCTGGACACCACCCACCCCCGCGAAAAAGGAAAAATGCAAATATTCAAACTCTATTGGCTTGAATGGAGGTGCATGTCAGTAGGGCGCGAGCAGGCATGCACCATGGGTGCGCACCCCATTTTGTGTCCCTCTGTTCATCCTTCATGGATAAGCGAGGGTTGCAGACTTCAAGTCCGGAAAAACGGAGGGACAACTGTAGTGCCATTTCATTGATCTACTGCTACACTGCTGCATTATAACTCTAAAGAGAATGTGAATGCACTTCATTCATTCATGGGGTCATGAGGCATTTCTTTTATAT